GAAGAGGAAGAAGAAGAAAAAGGTAAAGATACAAATTATGAACAAGAAACATGCATCCATCAACAAGTGAATCTAAGAATCAAGTGAATAAATAATCTGGTGATCATAATAGAATCAAGGACATACAAAGGGAATGGACTGACTATTCTTGGGGGGGGAAAGGGGTGTGGGAGATGCGGAATGAGACTGGACAAAAATCGTGCACATATGATGGATGAGGGTGGGTGGGGAGTGAGGGCGGAGGGTGGGGCAGGAACTGGGAGGAGGGGAGTTATGGGGGGAAAAAAGAGGAACAAATGTAATAATCTGAACAATAAAGATTTAATTTAAAAAAAAAAAAAGGAAAATCACACTAGTCATGAAATTGTTGTTTCTCTTTTCCATGCTTGGATTAAGTATGCATTGCTGATAAGTGGGTAAGCCACTTTAGTGTTGTGTTGATGATATTAAAACCAATTACAACCCCCCACCCCCCCAAAAAAAGGGGAATGTCTAGAATTAAAGTTTGTTTGGTGATAATGGCAGTTATAAGCAATTTAATTCTCTTAAACCACTTAGAGTAACAACATTATCTAGAGTTAATGAATTAATTCGCTTAACCACATCATCATTAACTTCACGAATTGAAATACAGTAGTACTTCCAGCCTGATTGAAGATTAATTTTAAAGTGAGAATCTGCTTCAAAGTGTCACTTGTGTATGATGATGGTAGTTGGAATATTAGGCTGAAGATGGTGATTGAATGAGAGAAAAATTACAGCATAAAAATAATACAGAATATTTTTCCTGACAAAATGGTTAAATATTGAAGACTTAAAGGCTTTAAAATTTTTTTTAATCTCTAGTGTGATTTAAATTAGTTTTTAAATTGAAGAGGGGGTTGAACTTAATAAATTTTGAGACCCACTTTTAGACGTATTAAGACCCATGGCTACCCTTTGAAAACCTAATGAAAGCTATGGCTTCAGGACAGTGCTATGCTTGTTTACATACAATTTTTCACATGATTTTTGGGTGGTTTAGACTCATTTCTGAAGCCCATCCACGGACAATTCTCACCCACCCTCAATCGCCCCCTACCCTGCAGCTTTTCAGGTAAAGAACTTTGCTAAAAGCTTATTAAGTATCTTAAAATACTAAAAATTATTACTGAATAGTAAAGACACAGCGTTGTATGTTTTTCATCAAGTTCAGAAGACTCAGTGATGGAGAAAAACAGGTACTTGGAATTAGAATTCTTTAAGTCCTCCAATGTTGAATGAATACATACCTTATTTTAATTTTATACCTATAACCTTCATTTTTCTCTCATTTTACTAGGCGTACGCAGCAGTGCTATGGCAACAAGCTAATGAAAACGGCCAAAATTCAACTGAAAAAGCATGTTTTGGAGCCGCCCTCCCAGAAGAGAAACTTAATGACTTTCGTGATGAGCAAATAGGACAGCTGCAGGAGCTGATGCAAGAAGCCACTAAACCCAATAGGCAATTTAGTATTACTGAATCTGGGAAACCAAAATGTTAGTCTGTACAATAAAGCTTAACAAAAGCATTTCAAGTTCAGAACCCCTTATTTTAACTATCATTGGTTTTAAAAAATGTATTGAGCTTTTAGGCTTTGAGAATGCTGGTGTTAATGAAATAGGTATTTTTATTTGGGAATGTTATGAACCCTCTCTGCAACATATAGATCAGGTCACCGGTGGACAGAACTTTACATTATTGAGGTAAATATCAGTACTTGCTGGATGGGATTTGATTTTTGGATTAAATAAGGAAGAAGAGCTCGAAACTGGACAAACCTGTTGAATTCTGTCAAAAATTTTTAGACATATAAATTTGTTTTTAATGCTATTCTTGTTCAAGCATAGTTTTGTAGTCAACAACACTAAGGGCTTGCATTTTCTATTTGATCTATAATTTATTCTCTTGATAAGAGACCTGTTAGAATACTAGAGGACCTCTGTAATGTCAATTAGATTCATATGAAAGTATCAAAATTGAAGAGGCTGGTAAATTCATCTAGTCCAGTGATGGCGAACCTTTTGAGCTCGGCGTGTCAGCATTTTGAAAAACCCTAACTTAACTCTGGTGCCGTGTCACATATAGAAATTTTTTGATATTTGCAACCATAGTAAAACAAAGACTTATATTTTTGATATTTATTTTATATATTTAAATGCCATTTAACAAAGAAAAATCAACCAAAAAAATGAGTTCGCGTGTCACCCTCTGACACACGTGTCATAGGTTCGCCATCACTGACCCATGTTTTTCAACCTTTCCTTTCAGAATTTATTTGATCGAGATGCATCTTGACTCTCGAGATTAGTGAATTTGAAACACAATGGATTTATTCCAACTAATTCTGTGTTCTGCAGATCTCTGATAGAAACATACAGGAATGCTGGGCTCAATTGGCAATTATGGGCTTAAATAAATGTATTATTGTTATACAAATGTAATATTAACTTGTGCTATTTTAGCAAAGAAATAGAGTTCAATGCTAGATACCTGAAATAGTACACCCTTTTCAAGGGTTTCAAATCATCTCAGTGCAAAAACTGATAAAAGCCAAATGTTGAATAATAGTTGCTAAGCAACTTTAAAAGAATTAACTCTCTGCATAGTAATGACATATCTAGTGAATACTGTCACTCACATTAGATGACTGAAAGGAGAACCAAGCACCAGAGTAGAAGAATAGTAAAATTCTAAATTCACAGCTCCCCGGGAGAGGTGTGGGTGAGTGCAGTCCACGGGCTAGCAGAGCTGGTTGCTGTGTTGCCCAGGCTGGAGCTGGTCTGTATTTGCTGGGCCAGCAGAAACTGCCCTCTGGTGGTGCACTGAGACTGGCAGGCAGGCTTGCAGAGGAAGTTGGGTATTGGGCTTCTGCTCAGCAGTATGGCAGTTTGCAGCCTGGGGAAACAACTCGGGGAATGCAGGCAGGCTGGGGTTGGTGGCAAGCACACACGGTGAGTCAGGCCTCAGAAACCAACTTGTAGATGGTGAGATGGTGCCATGGGGTCTGGGATGCTCAGTGTCCATGTTGGGAGGGCCATGTTAAGTGATCACCAGTCTAGGCTACAAGCTTGACAAGAGACTCTACATCCTGGTGTGCTGCTAGAGGGAGTCCCACTGGATATCCTATCACACGTGCCACTGACAGCCAAGCAGCAGGAGCAAGAAACCAGCAAGAAATCCCTCTCCTGTAATAACCCGCAATGACAAAGCTTAATACTGTGCTCTCTGCAAAAGAGAAGTATTTAAATCTCCGTTATCCTACAGCTGGTAATGTGGGTGACTCGGAGAGGAGAGGCAATAACTGGTACCCAGCACCTGTAGCTAACATAGAATGTTTACAATATACCAGGCACTGGGATTTATATGGATTCTCTCATATAAACCTTAACTTCCCTATAATTTGGGATGCCATTATTTTCTCTGTGTTATAGATGAATAATCTGAAGCTTAGAGAAGTTAAATAACTTTCTTGAGGTTAAGGAGCTGATGCAAGAGTTGGGATGAACCTTTTTAGTTTGCCTAGCACCTGTGCCTTAATCACTGCAGCATTGTACTTCCTTCCAAAGGAAAAGTAATTGAATTGATGGAAGTGATAGATGGATGCCCTGTTGGGTCAGCACCTATTGGTTCTGTCCTCATCAAGTGGCCCTTTAGACACTTGCTTTCCAGTGGCCTTACCCCCTCAGAGGGTCTCTGAGTCAATTTCTCATGGATGAGCGTCACACACTGGTCACCTGGTAGTCATGCCATCAGATGGGGCCGACCCCACTCTAGTCCCCTCTTCAGGGAGACACTGAGGTGTGGCAGTGAACACTAGATGATAGCAACTCTCCCAAAAGGAGGAGACTAGCAAATTTCCCAAGATTCTGAGGTCACACAAATGGCCTTCAAATCTGAAAACTGAGCGTATCTTTCAAATTCAGGACCCTGTTTACTCTAATAACCATACCAAACATCCTTATATTTTGTTCTCAGGATTTTGGCCTTAGACGCCTACACACTCCATCACCTCCCTTGACTCTCTGTACCTCGTATTTTGATGATTCACAAATCTCTCTCCAGCGCAATTCTGTTCCTCTTGAGTTTAACTCTCTCATTCCCTCCACAGTTCAAAAGTGAATTCATTTGATTGCCCTAAATCTGATTACCCTTCAGTCTGGGCTTCTTTTTATGAATTCAGCCACCCAGCTGGCATTATCAAAGACTGAGTATTGTCCATGGTGGCTTGCTTTTTCTCACCTCCTAAATTGGGTTCCTGGATACAATTCCAATGTGCGTGGGTATGGGGTTCCCTCCAACACACAATTAATTCTCAGATACCAGCAGAGTGTTAAAAAATTCAACTCAATTCTGACACTATTTACCCATAGATAGTCTTACACTCCACATGTTAAGGGTTCAGTACTACAAGACTCTCCCCCCGCCACAGACACACTTCAGATGCCAGCCAAAGCCCAGGCTCTTACTCATGCTTCTGACCAACCAGCTACAGGTGAGAAGTCCCAATGACATGTCCCCCCCTCTTGGGGTTCAATTAATTTCCTAGAATGGCTCACAGAACTCCGAAAAACCCATTTATCATGAAATTGCTAACTCATTACAAAGGATATAATTCAGGAAGAGCCAGAGATGAAAGAGAGGCGCAGGGCAAGGTATGTGATGTGGGACGAGGTGTGGAGCTTCCATACACTCCCTAAGCTCCCCACTTCCCCCACCTCTGTGCTCACCAACCTGGAAGCTCTCTGAACCCCCATCCATAGGTGCTTCTGAAAGTCACCTCATTCACATGGCAAAAAGACACCTTTATCATTCTAAACCCTTAGGAAACTTAAGAGTTTTGGGAGCTAGGAGTCAGCAACTATGGACTAAAACCAAATGACCAAATACCTATTTCTTATAAATCACAATATTGCTCCTCCATGTGAAATAAATTCCTTTTCCGACTAACTCAGCTTTATGCAGTCCATCACCAAGTCCTGTTCATTCAAAGTATTTAATAGTTCTCTTACATTCATTTCATTTTTTCTACCAACACTTTTACTTCTTCAGTTCAAGCCACCATCTCATCTTTCTACATTTCCTTCCTAATGGCTTTCACATACAAGAAGCAACCAATGAATACATAAGTGGAACAACAAAACAATGTTTCTCCCTCTATCCCCAAAAATTAATACATTTTTTTAAAGTTCATGTTTTAAGCAGCAGAAAGGAGGAGGAGTCAAGGGCTGAGTCTATATCCCTTCTATTGGGGCTCTCCCAGAAGTCCTGTATCCAACTACTCCCAGCCGTAACTGTCCACACCCACATTCGCAAAGGAGGCTGGGAAATATAGACTCACAACTGGCTGTTCCTTTGTAATAAGTCAGCGATTTCATGATAAATAGGTTTTTTGGAGTTCTGTGAGCCATTCTAGCAACTGGACTAATTGCTACCTCCAGTACAAAAGGAGTTCTATTAATGAGAAAAATGGGAGGCAATTACCTGTATCTGCCACAAACATGGATGCATCCAGGCGGACAAATGGAAGTGTTTGCATTGTCATTCAAATTTTCAAGGCAAATAGGCTTAGCCAGCACAGTGTTTACGTAGCCTTAAGGCAGTGGTTCTCAACCTTCTGGCCCTTTAAATACAGTTCCTCATGTTGTGACCCAACCATAAAATTTTCATTGCTACTTCATAACTAATGTTGCTACTGTTATGAATCGTAATGTAAATATCTGATATGCAGGATGGTCTTAGGCGATCCCTGTGAAAGGGTCGTTCAACCGCCAAAGGGGTCGCAACCCACAGGTTGAGAACCGCTGCCTTAAGGGATCCAGAAGAGAGAGCATCCAGGGCAAGAGCATCACAGAGGCTTTGCATTGCAGCTGCTGGCGTCGCAATCACATGCACTGGGTCTGTTTTTGGTCACAAGAAATGAGAAGCTGAAGTGAATGTGATCGTGTACCAAAGCGGGTAGAGAGGGGTCAGCATCCCGGAGCCTAAACACTTAGCTGATCACCCTGCACCCACAGGTCACGTGCCGAGCTGCCACTCTTCAGTGCAGCCACAGTCCCTAAGTTACAGGTCATATGACAATCTCAACAGCCAGGCACAGAGTACTTAGTTCCCTCATTTAAACACATGGATACTTCAAAAAAATCGAAGATCAAACTCTGATTGATACCATGTCAAGACAGTGACCTGCAGAATTGAAAGTGGACATTCATTCTCTATCACCCCATCCTCTCAGTTCACAGTGGGCAGTTTTATCTTTAAAGAATCTTTCTGAGACTAGATCAGCTAAAGCTTTGGATGTAAAACACTGCTCAAATAAAATTAAACAAATGCCACTAAAATATTGTGATTGCAAGCAACCATGTAACATGTGGGCTCAGAACTAGCTTTTAAGAATTTTGCCCGGAGACAAATTATCTGTGAAATGCTTCAACAAATTTAAATACAAAGTTAAAATTTATTTGGAACAACAAAAATTAAAAAATTTAAATAAAGACCAAACTCCACTCGAGCATCCCTGAGGCTCAAATCAGATTCACAGTCCCGCTGCTCATTACTTCCTTTCACCAGCTGACAGGGAGCCCGGAGATGCAGCGTTTAGGTCAGCCATGGGCAAACTACGGCCCACGGCCCCCGGATCCGGCCCGTTTGAAATGAATAAAACTAAAAAAAAAAAAAAAAAAAAAGACCGTACCCTTTTATGTAATGATGTTTACTTTGAATTTATATTAGTTCACACAAACACTCCATCCATGCTTTTGTTCCGGCCATCCGGTCCAGTTTAAGAACCCATTGTGGCCCTCGAGTCAAAAAGTTTGCCCACCCCTGGTTTAGGCTCTCCAGCATGTATGGTCCAGGAAGCCAAACAAGAAGGAAGTTGGAACAGATGCTGTATGGACCAGAACAGTATTACTCTACTGTCTAACTGCGTAAAGGGAGTCTGGCCATGGACCCTAGCACCACTGCCCTACACTGTGACTTGCAAAGAATCACACACTCACTCTGGTTCTCACCTCCTATCTCCCATGGGGCATATTTAGACTATTGCCTCAGCCATTAGTCTAGCTGTAACATTATATAATTCCATAATTTAGGCAAATCTATCCCAAATTCACCAGAGCTTCAGTACCATGGAGGATGCATAAATAGGCTGTGCGTAATCGATGCCTTTAAATTAACAATCCACCCCATGTCAGAACTTGTGCTCTTTTGCATCTTTGTACTATTTTCAGACTTGTGAAGTATTTTTCCTATTCTCATGCTAATGGGACCTGTATAAAAGTCAGGTGACTGTAATTCACATTCATAATATTCAACTTTGCAAGCTTAAAACCTCTAAGCACATTATTAATTATCTGGGTACATGTAACTTCCGGAAAAACAATATCTTTGATAAAGAAAATGCTCCATACAAAAGAGAGATTGCTTAGGTGGCATTCATCAA